CAGTCTGGGCAACAGAGTGAGACTCCAACTCAAAAAAAAAAAAAAAAGAAAAAAAAGAATTTAATTTGTACATTTCAGATATATAAGTTATTGTTACAGTAGTTTTTGTCTTAAAAAAAAAAAAAGAAAGCTTTTCTATAAGGCTATTCTGAACAGCTTTGATCCCTGACCTTGAGACATCCTAGTGGATTCTTTTTTTTTTGAGTTGGAGTCTCACTCTGTCGCCCAGACTGGAGTGCAGTGGCCGCTCCCGGCCACCGCAGCCTCGACCTGCTGGGCTCCAGCGATCCTTCCCCCTCAGCCTTCCGAGTAGCCGGAATTACAGGCGCGCGCTACCACGCCCGGCTTATTGTAGAGATGAGGTCTCGCCTGCCCAGGCAGGTCTCGAACCCTCGGGCTCAGGCAATCCACTCACCTCAGCCTCCCAAAGGCGCGGGATTACAGGCTGAGCCACCGAGCCCGGTCATCCTACTACTTTTTTTTTTTTTTTTTTTGAGTTGGAGTCTCACTCTGCCGTCCAGACTGGAGTGCAGTGGCCGCTCCCCGCCACCGCAGTCCCGACCTGCTGGGCTCCGGCGATCCTTCCGCCTCAGCCTTCCGAGTAGCCGGAATTACAGGCGCGCGCTACCACGCCCGGCTGATTTTTTGATTTACTGTAGAGATGAGGTCTCGCTGCCCAGGCGGGTCTCGGACCCGCGGGCTCAGGCAATCCACTCACCTCAGCCTCCCAAAGGCGCGGGATTACAGGCTGAGCCACTGAGCCCGGCCATCCTACTACTTCTTAAAGAAATCTGGCAATTATGAAAAGCAACATTTAAGTCTGCAAACATAATTATCAATGGAATCCATTTTTTATTATAAGCTTTATTATATTAGTACGTGTGAATGGATATAGAGGTGATTAATAGAAAAGCCGATTAGCGAGCTGTCTGAAGAAAGGGCATTACAATCACTGTTAGATGAAGTCTCCCACGAATATTTATTCTGAAAATAAGTCTCTAGGACATGATAAACTTTCTTTGCTTGACCAAACTTTAGTCAGACTGCAAATCTTCTGCTAGACCCATCTGCACTTCTTTGTAAAATCCAGTTTTAGAACCCAAGATTTTTAAAATCTAAGTTTTATTACCATTGAAGACCACTCTAAGAAAAAAAAATGTTTACAATATACACACATATATATGTATGTATGTGTGTGTGTATGTATGTATGTGTGTGTGTGTGTATATATGTAATTTAATTTGTTTTGTTTTGTTTTTTGTTTTTTTGAGTTGGAGTCTCACTCTGTTGCCCAGACTGGAGTGCAGTGGCCACTCCCGGCCACCACAGCCTCAACCTGCTGGCCTCTGGTGATCCTTCCGCCTCAGCCTTCCAAGTAGCCAGAATTACAGGCATGCGCTACCACGCCCAGCTGATTTTTTGATTTATTGTAGAGATGAGGTCTCGCTGCCCAGGCGGGTCTTGAACCCGCGGGCTCAGGCAATCCACTCACCTCAGCCTCCCAAAGGCGCGGGATTACAGGCTGAGCCACTGAGCCCGGCGTAATTCAATTTTTATAAAATATTTAATGGAAAAGGTAGGTAAGTACAAAGTGGCAAATCCTGGACTAAGAACAGAAAAAAATATTTTTTCTCTTTTTCACTAAGTTAACCTTAGACCTAAACTAACTTGTGTTCTAGGGTCTGCTCAGTATGTGATGACACAGAGGTAAAGTCCTCACACAAATGTTCTAAAGGCAATTTGGCTCAATTCCATATCCCAATTTATATTTACATAGTTATTGGTTATTAGAACAGTCAGGTACACTACACATGTACCTTATCAAGAAATTCCTTGCTAGGCACAGTGGCTCACGCCTATAATCCCAACACAGGCAGAGAAATAACCAATTAATTATTTAGCAGCATGAAGTTTCTGTGAGGAATTAAAATAGTTCAGAGGCCAGGTGCAGTGGCTCACGGCTATAATCCCAGCACTTTGGGAGGTGAAGGTGAGAGGATCGCCTGAGCCCAGGGGTTTGAGACCAGCCAGGGCAACTTGGCAAGACTTTATCTCTACAATAAATCAAAAAATTAGCTGGGCATGGTGGCACACGCCTATGGTTCCAGCTACTTGAGGCTGAAGGATTGCCTGAGCCCAGCGGGTCAAAGCTGTGGTGGCCGTGAATGTGCCACTGCACTCCAGTTTGGGTGACAGAGTGAGACTCCAACTCCAAAAAAAATAATAATAAAAGGAAATTTCTTCACTGCATTCTAAGTTTTATACCATTTGCATGTATTACCTATTCGAAAACTATATTTAAAAAATCATCCTAGTGTAATGGACCTGGGAAGATCTAGGAAAAGTCAAAATTGAAAGTCTGAAGGAGAACTCCAAAGGTGTAAACTTCATATATGGAAATGGTTTTTGCAAAAGGCTGACTTCAAGTTTGAATTTCTAGTTCTGTCCCAGAATTCCAGCCCCAGGCCTCTCCTTTTCTTATCTTCACATGTATTCCTTTGGAGAACTCATTTGTCCTTATAGTTTTATCCGTTACCCATGTGCTAACGACCTATAAGTATGGCCCAACCGAGACACATATGCTGAATAACATATTTAACCAAATGTTTGACAGACATGTTTGAAAATCTGACTACCCTAAACTGAACTCATATCCTTCTCATTCATGCCTCTTACTCCTATCACAGTGAATGACAGGGCCACTTACTAAGGAATCTGAGTCACAAACACAGTAATTCTTTTACTGCCCTCTTCTCCCACATCCAGTCACTGAGTCCTGTCAATTCTATCTTGTAATTATTTCCTGTGTTCACTCCAGGGAACTTATCTCTTATTTGTACTAACTGGATTTCCTTTAATTTCATCAGAGCCACTCCACTCTGATTCCAGTTTTTACCTTGTCACTAGAGGAATTTTACTGAAATGCAAACCTATCTTGCCAGTCCTGTCTATTCTTTAATTATGTCCAACAGGAGTCTAAACTCCTGAATTTTCATGAGTCAACTCTTCCACCTTTATCTTCTGATACTTGATATACATACTGTGCTCCAGTAATACTAAATTACTTTTTTTTGTTGTTGTTGCTGGAGTCTCAGTCTGTCCCCCTGGTTGGAGTACATGGCATGCTCATGGCTACTGCAGCCTCTAAGTTGCTGCAGCTACAGGTGTGCGCCCCCATGTCCAGTTACTTTTTTTATTTATTGTAGAGACAAGGTCTTGCTACATTGCCCAGGCAGGTCTCGAACCCCTGGGCTCAGACAATCTTCTTGCCTCGGCCTCCCAAAGTGCTAGGATTACAGGTGTGAATCACTGTACCTGGCCTCTGAACTACAGGCGTGAATCACTGTACCCGGCCTCTGAACTCCTTTTAATTCCTCACACAAACTTTCATGCTGCTAAATAATCAACTGGTTATTTCTGTGCCTAGTGACCTTCTCATCCTTCAAGACTCAATCCAGACATCACTACCTCCAAGAAGACTTCCCAGACCTTTCCTAGAGTTAAAAGGGTAATTTATTTCTGTCTATACCACCAGGTAAAGCTAATGTGTGGTTTGCCTTTGTGTACAAGTACATAGCATTTAATATATATTTAATAAATGAACGAATGGCCTTGGGCAACCCAAGTTACTACTTCTAAAACAGAAATAAGCCAGGCTCAGTGGCTCAGGCTGTAATCCTACGCCTTGGGAGGCTGAGGTGAGTGGAATGCCTGAGCACGCGGGTTCGAGACCCGCCTGGGCAACTTGGCGAGACCTCATCTCTACAATAAATCAAAAAATCAGCTGGGCGTGGTAGCGCACGCCTGTAGTTCCAGCTACTTGGAAGGCTGAGGTGGAAGGATCGCCGGAGCCCAGCAGGTCGAGGCTGCGGTGGCTGGGAGCAGCCACTGCACTCCAGTCTGGGCGATAGAGTGAGACTCCAACTCAAAAAATAAAATAAAATAAAACAAAACAGAAATAATATCTATTCTCTTTCTCACAGTAGTAGTATATACAACAAGACAAATGCAAGTTAAAATATTTTGGAAAATATGTACAGTAATAAAAATGAAAACTGTCCTATGGTATGGGGCTGGACAGGGCCCAGGGTCTTTTGCAATCTCTTTCCCCAACCAATCACTCCTTTCCCAGTGCAACATAGCAAACCACAGTATGTGTGAATGCCCACATGCCACTGGACTAACAGGTGCAAAGACCTAGTCTCTCTATGCTGACCCATATTTGCCACAGAAAAAGACTCTGTAAGTGTTTTAGATGACAATGTCAGCATCCCAGCCCTAAAGGTATAGACTGGCCTCTTCCCAAGTCCATGTTTCTTCTTTCTCAGTGGTGGTCTAGCTCTCACTACATGCACAACCTCTCCACAATAATTTTCCCATTCTTTTGTTTACTCAGTGAATCTATAACCTAGAAGCCATTGTGCTCTTTGTAGAACACCAAAAATTACTGGTATATTACCCTAGATATCAGTAAATATTTTATTTTGATTACCAATTAATTCTAATTTTAGGGCAGGTAAGTGGTAACCAGCAACAAGGTTAAGTTTAAAAACAGGTGACGGGAGGCCGGGTACGGTGGCTCATGCCTGTAATCGCAACACTTTGAGAAGCAGAGGTGAGAGAACTGCCTGAGTCCAGGGGTTTGAGATCAGCCTGGGCAACCTGGCGAGATCTCGTTTCTACAATAAATGAAAAAATTAGCCAAGTGTAGTGCTCCGTGCCTGTAGTTACAGCTACTTAGATGACTGAGGTGGAAGGATGGCCTAAGCCCAGGGGGCCAAAGTTGGGGTGGCCTTGAGCATGCCACTGCACTCCAGCCTGGGCGACAGACTCCGACTCAAAACAAAACAAACAAATAAAAAACAGGTAACAGGAGAAAAACTTTAAAAATTATATTTATTGATAGTGCAATAGGGTGACTATAGTTAACAATAATTTACTGTATGGTTCAAAATTGCTGGAGGAGAGAAACTGGAATCTTCCCAATATAAAGAAGGGGTGAATATTTGGGGTGATGGACATTCCAACTGCCCCAGTTTGATTATTACATTGTATGCATGTATCAAAATATCACATGTACCCCTGAAAACATACACAACTTTATGTATCAGTTATTTTAAAAGTTTTATACTAAAAATAATATTTAATATTTTTTGCTAATTTGAAAAAGATATGCACAATTTTATTTCATCGACAGACTATCCTATTATTACCCACAGAATGCCAGGTACTCTCCAGAGCTGTAGTCTGAAAATCTACCACACCTCTCTCTCCCCTCTCCTCCACTCTCTTCGAAACATCATTTGTGTGTCACATCTGTTACCTTGCATGCATAAACCTGTACATCAATTTGTCTTTTTAATGAACATGGCCATCTGGTCTGTAAACCTTTAGAGGGTTTAGGATGTTTTATATTCCTTGTAATCTACATATACTTATTCAATACTTACTGAGCACCTACTATACATAAAACACCGAGCTAGACAAACACAATATGCACTCAATAAATGCTTCTGAGGATAACAATCTCAATAAAGTCTTTAGGGCCTAAATTTTCCAAAGCAATTTAGTGAAGCTCAAGGAATTCAGGAACTCCTACCCCTACTCCTATGCTAAGTGTTTATACATTATCTCATCTAGTTCTCAGAATCAAATGGCTAGTTAGGGTGGAGGTGGTGCTAACCCAAAAGCATCTGCTCTTAACTACTACACTCTTCTGCCTCCCAGAAAAGCACAAACTGCTAAACTGACAACAATTAAGCGAGATGAAGTGGTAGTGGTACATGCTTCACATTTTGGCCAACCTCTACCTCTTCTGGAATGTTTTCCCTCCCATTTGTACCTCCTCATTCTCCCAAAGTGCTCTCTGCCCACCCACCTCTATTCAAAACATGTGTCTACTATCCCGAGACCAGGAGAAGACTGTTTTGTCTCCCTGACTTGATTAGGAGCTTCTGAAGGGCATGTAACAGTGATTGCACAGGAAAGAGCTCCATAAACGTTGAGCATAGGATAAATGGTTTGCATAACAAGAACTAAGGAAGGGGAACTTTGTCCACCCCCTTTTTTTTTTTTTTGAGTTGGAGTCTCATTCTGTCACCCAGACTGGAGTGCAGTGGCCGCTCCCGGTCACCGCAGCCTCAACATGTTGGGCTCCAGCAATCCTTCCGCCTCAGCTTTCCAAGTAGCCGGAATTACAGGCATGTGCTACCACGCCTGGCTGACTTTTTGATTTATTGTAGAGATGAGGTCTCGCTGCCCAGGCGGGTCTCAAACCTGCGGGCTCAGGCAAACCACTCACCTCATCCTCCCAAAGGTGCAGGATTACAGGCTGAGTCACTGAGCCCGGCTTGTCTGCCCCTTTTGTATGTCAAGCATTCTACCTATAGAATCCCACTCAATTCTCACAAAAAATATGCAAAAATTAATTATTCTTATTTTAGAGACGAGAAAACTTTGGCTCTGATCAGCCTGCTCATGTAACTTGCCCAAGTGACACAACAGAATACAGCTGTTGGTTCAAAAGTGGAGTTCGTTTCATTACACCGAGTGACAGAGTTGGGCAAATGTGGAGTGGCGATGAAGAGGGAGAAAGCCCCATGTCCTCAGAGGCAGAAATGGACAAAGATAATTCCTTTCTGTGGTGAGGTGTTGTGTTCAAGGGAGATGGGATTTCAATACCATTTTTTTTTTGAGTACTGGAAATGCTGGGATTTGATGAGTTGGGAGCTGACCTCCAGGCATGACATACAGCTGAGAGGAGGCTAGTGGCACAAGTGGGGTGATTCCTAGTTGCCTGAACCGTTGCATTAGCTTCTTCCTAATTGTACACCTCTGCTCCAACAGTGCTTCCCACTGCTGACAGAAATGGCCTTTTAAAACACAGATCTAGTCGGGCTCTGTGGCTCAGCCTGTAATCCTGTGCCTTTGGGAGGCTGAGGTGAGTGGATTGCCTGAGCCCGCAGATTCGAGACCCGCCTGGGCAGCGAGACCTCATCTCTACAATAAAATCAAAAAAATCAGCAGGGCATGGTAGCGCAAGCCTGTAATTCCGGCTACTTGGAAGGCTGAGGCGGAAGGATCGCCGGGGCCCAGCAGGCGAGGCTGCGGTGGCTGGGAGCGGCCACTGCACTACACAGTCTGGGTGACTGAGTGAGATTCCAACTCAAAAAAATAAAAAAAAAAACAAAAAACCACAGATCTGATCAGTGCACTCCCCAAGCTCTCAAAAGCTTGTGCGACTCCTGGCTGCCTTCAGAATAAATTGCCATGCTCTGTTTGAATCTCTGTTGTAGCCTTTTCGCCCTAACCCTTCCTACTCACTCCGTCATCAAACACCACCCATTCAGAGGCCCTTGCCTCCATTTGCTCCCACTAGCCCTATGGGGCTAGAAAGCTTCTGGCAGTTGTGTCTGATAATCAAAGCTGCCTTCAAAGACAGAGTTCTTCTCCTCTTTTCCCTTTGGAAATTGATAGTCCTTAGCAAAGCGACCGTGTTGGTTATTATCAGAACAGTCAGTCTGAGAGGAGGCCATTGGCATGAAACAGCCCGGTGGTGTGGAGCCTCCAAACTGGTCCTGAGGCCACCACTACCAGCAGCATCTGGGAGCTTGTTAGTAACACCAGGCCTTTCCCCAGACCTAATGAATCAGAAGTCGCGTTTTTAACAAGATGCCTAGGCTGTTGATATGCACATTAAGCTTGAAAAACACTGGTTTTCCAGTGTACACGCTGAGGTCTAAAAACAGGTTCTGCTACTTACAGCTGCATGACCTTGGGAAAGTTGTTGTTAGCCTCTCATAGGCTTGTTTCCTCGTTTGTGGAAAATACCTCCCCACAATGTGCTTTGAGGTCGAAATGCTACACCGCCCAAAGAGTGACGGAGTCATGGCTCATTTTTGCACACAGCACAACGTCAACTGAGGGGGGCAGTCCCGGGTCCTTCACAGATTCACTGATCAAGGGCAAGTTCCTGCTTCACTGCACCTCAGCTTCCTCAAGTGCCAAAGGACACTCTGGCTCCGCCCGACTCTGAAGAACTAACAGCGCGCGGACGTCGCGAGGAGCGAGTTGGGACCCGCTAGGCGAAAACGCCCGGAAAAGTTGAGCACCTCAGGCAGGCCTAGGGCGGGCCGGCCCGCAGCCCAGAGACCTCCTCTCCTCCCAGCCGACCCCGCCCGCGCAGCCCTCACCCGTAAACATCACCGGCCTCCGCCGGAGCGCGTTATCGAGCAGGCCGGAGCAATAGCCCAGGAAGCCGATGTAGAGGAGCCGCGGGTCGGTCAGCTTGGGCGGGGGCAGGCTCCGCGCCTCATCCGGCAGGAACTGTAAGGGCACTCGGCCCGGCCGTCCGCTCATCATAGTGAAGCCGTTCTCACTTGAGGCCTGGCCTCAGACCGTCAACTACAAGGGATATCACCACGAATACTGCTCGGCCCTCAGCTGCTAGCTTTCTCCTCCCAGCACGGGCCTGAGGGGCACGGAGCACTGCGGTACAGCGCCCAAACGCTTCCGGGTGCGTGCTGCCGCCGGAACCCAGCACACGAGGTTCCGGGGTTCTAAATGGCTCGCCCAGCTCGCCCGCCCGTGCTAATTCTCCTCGTGGGAGTGGGATCCGGGGACCTGGTACCTCGAAGTCCAGTACACCAAACGAGCCAAACTGGGTGAAGACTAGGAGACCCTGATTTTTTTTCTTCCCACCTCCCCACACCAGACTTGCCTCTCCTTCCTCTACCCTTGAATGTCTCTTCTGCAAAGATTTATCTTTGCATCCAGCACTCACAAATGGGCATGATGGATAGTTTTGAGAAACGTAATGAATTGAAACCCCGTAAAAGCTAGTTTTCGTTTTCTGGTTTTCCAGTCGTTCTTTCGCAAAAACACACTTTTCAATGACTAAAATTAAGGTCTGGACAGCAACACGTAAGTTAAAGCCTGGGACTGGGGATGTTTTAGGCTACTCTCTTGAAATTCAGATTCGGAGGCAGCACCCTAAAGTGTTTGGCATCTTTCACCTCTGGGTCTTCAGGTCCTTGCATATGGCTGAGGAAAGAGGTGTTCCCTTACGTTTTAAGAAATGCATGAAAGAAGGAATTTATAGCCTCCTGTCATGCAATTGTCCAGTCGCTGCTCACCCACCTCCAATAATGCAGAGCTGCCATCTGAACATCTGTTTTTCCCCATCTTTCGAAAATCCTTCCTGATACTGAACTAAAATGTCTTCCTGTCGTGCCCATTTATTCGTGGGATCAGATACTGTATCTTTTTTCTCTTTTGTTTGCCTTTGAACATTATAGAGTTGGGTTTTTTGGCATAAAGTTTAAAATACTTAATCAAATGTATCAATCTTTTTATTTATGGTCTATGTTTTTCATATGTTAAGAAGCCTTCTTTTTTCTGAAATCATAAAGATATGGTCCTATAGCTTCTTCCCAAGTTTTAGCTTTTCATGTTTAAGTTTTAATCTGAATTTTTATTTTTGTGTTGATTGTGAGGAAAGTTATGGTGAGGAAACTGGCCCGACACTATTTATTATTATTATTACTATTTTATTATTATCATTATTATTTAAGAGTCTCACTCTGTTGCTCAGGCTGGAGTGCAGAAGCATGCTCACGGTCACGGCAGCCTCAACCTGCTGGGCTCAGGTGATCTTTCTGCCTCAGCCTTCTTCCAAGCAGCTGGAGCCACAGGCATGTGCCACCATGCCTGGCTAATTTTTTTGATTCATTGTAGAGATGAGGTCTTGCCATGTTGCCCAGGCTGGTCTCGAACCCCTGAACTCAGGCAATCCTCTCGCCTCCCCTCCCAAAGTGCTGGGATTATGGGCGTGAGCCACCATGACTGGTTTATTTATTATTAAAGGTTATCTTTTCCCCACAAATATTTAATGACACATTTAATATACACCATGTCTTTAAAAATACCATGGTCTATTTCTGAAATTATTTTGGTCTAAATTTATTTTTTTCTTTAGAACAAAATCTTTAGTCTCTTTCCCAATGACTATACTTACATCAAACTAACTAATAATTACAGCTTTGTAATATACTTTTATACCTGGTAGGGTGTGCTGCCTTTCTTTTCTTTCAAAAGTAGCACACAAGATAGGATATTATTATTACTATTTGTACACGTTTACTCTTCCTCCTGATTTTTTTTTGAGTTGCAGTCTCACTCTGCCACCCAGGCTGGAGTGCAGTGGCACATCCACAGCCACCCCAGCGTCAACCTGCTGGGCGCTGGAGATCTTTCACCTCAGCCTTCCAAGTAGCTGGGACTACAGGAGCGCGCTACCACGCCTGGCTATTTTTTAATTTTTTTATCTTATTGTAGAGATGAGGTCTCACCAAGTTGCCTGGGCTGGTCTCAAACGAGTGGGCTCAGGCAATCCACTTACCTTGGCCTTCCAGAGTGCTGGGATTACATGCTGAGTCACCAAGCCCAGCATTCTTCCTGATTTTAAAATCACTTGTCAGATTTCTTGAAAAATCTCATTAGGGTATTGGTTGGAATTACATTATATTTATAGACCAATCTGGAGAGCACCATTATATTTAAAATGCTGAGCCTTCTCCTCCATGAACATGGTGTATGTTTATCTATTTATTCAAATTTTCTTTCCTTTTAATTTTTTTGAGCTGGGGTCTCACTCTGTCATCCAGAGTGAAGTGCAGAGACACAGTCATGGCTCATTGCAGCCTTAAACTCCTGGGCTCGGGCAATCTTCCCTCCTTAGCCTCACAAGTAGCTGGGACTACAGGTGTGTACCACCACACCCAGCTAACTTTTTGACATTTTGTAGCGACTTTTGTGCCTAACAAACCTTGTTTACCCATTACAATATTCTCACCTTCCATTAAACTATCAAGAACACCAGTGACTTCCATCTTACCATACTCAGTGATACAAATTTTACTCAATCTAAGCAGCATTTGACACAATTGTCCTTTCCATCCTTTAAATTAACATGCTCTTCTTTTAACTTCCAGGACACCATATACTCCTTATTTCTCTCTTGTTTTACTGGCTTCTCTATCAGTTTCATTTGATATCTCTTCTCTCTCTCTCTCTCTCTCTAATTAGAGACAGGGTCTTGCTATGTGGCTCAGGCTGGTCTAAAACTCCTGGCTTCCAGTGGTCCTCCCACCTTGGTCCCCCAAAGTCCTGGGATTGTAGGTGTGAGCCACCACAGCTGACCTGATGTCTGTTTTCCTTCTCAGCCTGCAAATGTTAGAATTCCTTAAGATTTGTTCTGGGCTCTCCTCTCATCTACTCGCTTTCTTTGGGTAATATGTCTACTCCCTTGGTCTTATGTATATGCTGATGACTCCAACATGTATTATTCTAGCTCACCCTCTATTTGAGCTCGAATGGTATATCTACTCACTTACTTGATATCTTCAACAGGATGTCTCACACACATCTAAAAAAAAAAACACTCTTCCTCAGACCAAGAAAATTAAAAATATTTAAAAGTATATGGAATAATATAGCAAACGCCCCTATTTCCACCACTATAAAATCGTGTTTGTTGTTGTATGTGCTTCAGGTCTTTGTTTCCTGGTATACACATACACCCTAAATTTGTGTATATTCTTCTTGAAAAATCTGTAAATAAAATATTACAGAGTTGGTGGCGTGCAGTGGCTCACATCTTTAATCCCAGCACTTTGGGAAGCTGAGCTTAGGAGTTCGAAACCAGCCTGGGGTGACATAGCAAGACTTCGTCTACACACACACACACACACACACACACACACACACACACACACACACACACAAATTAACAGCCTGTAATCCCAGCATTTTGGGAGGTCGAGGCAGGTGGATTGCCTGCGCCTGCGAGTTTGAGACCAGCCCGGGCAACTTGGTGAGACCTCGTATCTACAATAAATTTAAAAAAAAAATTATCTGGGTATGGTAGCGTGTGCCTGTAGTTTCAGTTACTTGGAAGGCTGAGGCGGAAGGATTGCCAGAGCCCAGCAGGTCAATGCTGGGGTGGCCGTGAGCATGCCACCGCACTCCAGCCTGGGTGATGGAGTGAGACCCCAACCCAAAAAATAAAAATAAAATTAAAATTAAAAGAAAAATAAAAAAAAATACAATATTACAGAGTTAACACTCCCTCTCAATCCTCAGTCTCAGTATCTTTCCTTCTCCCCTAGAAGCAATCATAATCTTAAATTCTGTATGTATTTGTGTCTATTTTAATGTTTATATTAATCTGAATTCAGAATTATAAACAATATAAAACATTTATATTTTTAGAGACAAGGTCTCATTCTGTTGCCCAGGCTGGAGTACAGTGGTGCGATCATGGCTCACCACAGCCTCCTAGGCTCAAGCAATCCTCTCCCCTCAGCCTCCTGAGTAGCTAGGACTACAGGTTCTCACTACCACATCCGGCTAATTTATTTTTCATTTTTTGTAGAGATAGGGCCTCACTTTGGTACCCAGGCTGGTCTCAAACTCCCAGCCTGAAGCAATCCTTCCGCCTTGGCCTTCCAAAGTGCTGGGTTTACAGGTGTGAGCCAGGGCCCAGCCTAAAACATGATTTTTTGTTTGTGGTTTGCACATTTTGCACATTCTGTATGTATTATCTCCTTAAGTACATATTCATGAATCTCTTTGGGATCCATATTTAGAATTGTAACTTCTGAGTTGCAGAATATGTGGATTTCAATTTTACTAGATACCATCAAATTTCTAAGGAGATTGATCCAATTTTCAGTCTCATCCACAACGTATGTGATAGTAGCAATGTTTTCTACTGTGAGACTGGCTTATGCCAATCTGATGGTAAAAAATGGGATCTCAGCCGGGCTCGGTGACTCAGCCTGTAATCCCGTGCCTTTGGGAGGCTGAGGTGAGTGGATTGCCTGAACCCGTGGTTTCGAGACCTGCGTGGGCAGTGAGACCTCCTCTCTACAATAAATCAAAAAATCAGCCGGGCGTGGTAGCGCATGCCTATAATTCTGGCTACTTGGAAGGCTGAGGCGGAAGGATCGCCAGAACCCAGCAGGTTGAGGCTGCGGTGGCCGGGAGCGGCCACTGCACTCCAGTCTGAGCAACAGTGAGACTCCAACTCAAAAAAAAAAAAAAAAAAGGGATCTCATTGCTGAGTTTTTTGTTTTGTTTTGTTTTAAGTTGGAGTCTCTGCTCAGGCTGGAGTGCAGTGGCATCCTCATAGCTACCACAGCCTCAACCTGCTGGGCTCAAGTGATCCTTCTGCCACCACACCCAGCTAATTTATTTATTCATTGTAGAGATAAGGTCCTGCCATGTTGCCCAGGATGGTCTCAAACCCCTGGGCTCAGGCAATCCTCTTACCTCTTCTCCCAAAGCGCTGGGATTACAGTCATAAGCCACTGCGCCCGGCTCATTGCTGTTTTAATTTGCCTCTAGCTTTGTTCTTCTTTTTTTTTTTTTGCTTTTTGAGTCAGAGTCTCACTCTGATGGACTCAGGTGATCCTTCTGCCTCAGCCTTCCATG